TGGAAAGATTTTCATGTAGAATTTGAGGATCAAAATTACGGAGTTAGAGAATTTAATGTTATTTCGGTAACAGTACAATAAGTTCTTATAGTGCCTTTTCATTCTCTATCCCAATAATCTATTGTTGTAAAGAGGGTTTGCCACTTTGATCCAGAAATTGTTTTAACAACCGTAATGACTACAATTTGAAGGGTTTACGCTTTTGATCCAGAAAAAGTGAATGTATTGTTAACATTTGTGAACACGTGAACGACACCAAACCGACGATTGAATGCAACAATATCCGAAGATATTGGCACAGGACTCTAAAAAAATTAATAAATAAATAATTTTAATCTAATTCGTTTCTCCTGCCCAAGTTACAGATTAGCAGCTAATGTATTCATTTTATTACTGTTATGCAGAGCAGGAAAAATAGGATCCAAATATTCCAAAGTTGAGATTTCAGCAATATAAAATCACATGATTACAATGATTTGATTGGCTATAAATCATTGCCTTTAGAGTGTCCAGTTTACTGTACATGCAAATTCTGCTGCAATTTTTCGAGGACAATACAATTATTTAAATATACAAATCGATGATAAAAGTGTTTTCACTCGAATTCGATTCTGAAACTACGATTTTTTAAAAAATCAATTTTGTATTTTGTATGATTTCATATCGATATTTACGTTTATAATTCGTCAAGGAAATCTTTTACATGTGATGTAGTACATGTATTTAAATATGTGGTACGTGTATTTAACGTTAAATAATACATGTGCATTTAACATGTGTATGTACATGTATTTAAATACTAATACGTACATATGTGTTAACTTCCGTCGCACATGTACATGTATTTGTGTACGTAGGTATGTCTATTAAATAGCCATATCGGGAATTTATTTCGAACCTTAACCTTGATCTGATTATAGATAACGGGGGTTTGTTGACCCTTGATCTTGATTATAGATAACGGGGGTTTGTTGACCCTTGATCTTGATTATAGATAACGGAGGTTTGTTGACTCCGGCTAATATGATCGTGAGGTAGAAAACAGTATTTTAGTTGTATTCATTTTATGCATGTAACGTAACTGAATGCTATTCATCCGAAATTGCCATTGTTCATTATTTTTCAAAACATCATTATTATATGTCGCCTGGAAAGTCTATATAAAAATCTGTTTTCACATTGCTTGCTCTCTAATGTTTTTGGATAAACTACCAAACCTCCTTTCTTAAATAATAATTCTATAAATAAATTTCAAATAATAGAATACTCAAAATAAAAAATTCAAAAATCAAATTAAAACACTGCTACTGTGGTCCACTAACCATTCAGTTTTCACGTTTGAGACTACAGCAAATACAATGGCGACAACATCTATTATTACGACTACTTCAGTGCAGCAAACAATTATCGACCACATAGTCAGCACCATGTCTGAATACGACAAAAAGATGTTACGCGATCCTCCATATAAATTACTCCTATCTATGGATAAGCTTCTTGCACCTGCAAAAAAAACGCGTAAAAATAAAGAAGATATGAATAGCCCTCGACAACAAAACAAATTCATCATCTTCCGTAAAGACTACGAAGCAAAACTGCGTCTACTTAATCCAAATACCACATATAAATTCCAGGATATTTCTAAAGAATGCGGCGCTGAATGGAGATTGCAGCCTAGTGAAGTCAAGAAATACTTTGATTTGCTACAAAGAATCGCTTTTAAGAAACATAAACTAATGTATCCCAATTATAAATATAGTCCAAAGAAAAAAGAATCTGTATCTCGTGAAGATAACGATAAATTTTATGATGATAACGAAGATGATGATTATGATAATGACAATTACAACAACAATTGTACAGTCACGAATCCTTCTTCTATCGATGTTTCTTTATCCTCTTCCTCTAATTCGGCTACAATGGACTTAGCCGAGTCTAGTACTATTTTTGATTTCAGTTTACCGCAATCATATCAATGTACTCCGATTGACACGTTGTTTGCCAGACAATTAGATTTTCATTTAAATGGACTTATGCCCTTTATAACTGCATCTTCTCTTACTCAAGGTCCAATAACTATGCCAGAAGATTTATCCGTAAATTTTGATACATCAATAGCATCTTTATCTTCAAATGGATTGAATTCCGACCACAGTAATTTCGTTGATGCACTAGGAAGTACATGTACCACAAACAATGATCTTCAAGACTTTGCTCTCAACTTTTCTGATACATTTAACGAGATTATCTCATTGGATCAATTAGATGTTTCTCAAACCAATAATCCATTGAATTGTGCTGAGATAGACGAATTTGTATTTGCAGACTCAAAAGAATCTTTTGAATCTAATATCAAAGATAATACTATTAATAACTTGATCCCTTCACCGATAAATCCATTTACAATTATCACAACTACAAATAACCTAACCACTAACACAAATCCTTCAATGTTCCAAATATCTCGTTAATTTCTTCACTACCAACACAATCTCCATTCATCCCTGAATATCTTAATTGCGATTCTACATTTTTGGCTGGAGATTTGTCGTAAATTATTTTCGACGATTTGCTATTTGACAAATTTGCTTATTTTATTATCAATTTTAATTTTTAGTTTCACATTTTGGTTTTTTATAGTAGTTTATACCATTCCATGATATGAAATTTACAAACCTCACTTTTTTTATGCATTCAATTTATTTATTCATTATTTCTCTAAATTAAATATATGACAGAAAAAAAAATGTCGTCTCTTTCACCCGTACACCTCACGGGTATCTCAAACAACGTCTCACAAAATTTCGAAACTCAA